TGTTCCTATGGACGACTAGACGGTAATCTCTACAGAACCACCAAACAACAATAGCAATAGTTTTTTTCAATTGGAAAGACAAAGTACATATTCATATGTATGTTCCGAAGGGCTTTTGGAATTCCGCTCTATAAGTGTAGTAAAAGTACTAAAATGTACTAGATTTGGTACCATTTCGTATCATGTGAACGGTTAGAGCTAAAAATTTTAATTTTGGAATAGGAATCAAGATCATGGAGTAGATACGATGTAAGGAGGTAGTTTTGTAAGTGTGTACTCGTATATACGGAAGGTACTAAATGGTACTAAATTTAAAACAACCTGAATTTGGAGGAATGGTTGGAGGTGGAATCCTGAAATTTGAAATCAACAGTACTAGCGGAGTATATTATTGGGATATGGAGGAAGTTTTCAAAATGTGTACTTATTTGCACAAAGAGTACTAAATGGTACTAAATTCCGATTTGGGCGAACCGATAGAGCTGGAATTCCGAGATTTAGAAATAAGGTAAGATTGTAGGTAGTTTTGGAAATTTGTACTTATGTGTAAATTGCACTAATTTTTGACTGATTTACATTTTGAAAGAACCTGTAGAGTTGAAATCCAGAAATTTGAAAATAAGATTTCTATTGGACTATATGATGTAGATAGTTATGAAAATGTGTATGTATGTGCAAGAAAAGTACTAACTGGTACTAAGTTTTGTACAATTTGGATTTGGAACTGAAATGTTGTAACAAGATTACAATTGCATTGTAGGACTGAAGTACGTATATAGTTTTGAAAATTCATACTTATGTGTAATAAATGGGACTAAATTTAGTACAATTAAAATTTTGGGTGAACTGGTAGATTTGGAATTCTGAAAATTAAATATAAGATTTCTATTAGACTGTATGATGTAGGTAGTTATAAAAATTTCGAAAGTGTGTACTATAATTATACGAAAAGTACTGAATGGTACTATATTTCGTAGAGGGATAGAGATACAATTTTTAAGTTTACTATTTAGATTACTGATGTTATCTGTGCTTGAAATTTGGCGGTGGTTTGGAAATGCATCCTATATTTGTACGAAAAGTACTGAACGAGATATGAAGATGGTTTTGGAAATATGTATTATAATTGTACGAAAAGTGCTAAGTGGTACAAAATTTGGTTTTGGGTAAAGGAGTAGAGCTGAGATCCTGAAATATAAAATAAATATGTCACTGTTGGTGTCTATGGTTAAGATATGGAGGTGGTTTTGGAAATATGTACTTAATTGTACGAAAAGTACTGAATGGTACTAAATTTGGTATTGGGTAAAGAAATAGAGTTGAAATCCTGAAACTTTTAGTAGATGTTGCTGTTTGTGGTGTGGTGGTTTTGGAAATGTGTACTATAATTGCTCGAAAACTACGAAGTGGTGCTAGATTGGGATTGGGATGAAGGGATAGAGCTGAAATCCTGAAATTTGATATTGATTTCACGGTTGCGAGAGAAGGAGGTGGTTTTGGACATGCATAAATTTGGGATTGGATCTTAGAGTTGGATATGTTTCGACGTGCCAGGTTTGGACTATATTGGTTACTTCCTTCGCTTTGTATGAAATATATGATAATTTTTAAGAAATGTTAAAATGTGCCAAATATATTCGACCGAAATTTTCCAATTTTATACTTCATCTAAAACAGATAAAAATATTGATATGGGCAAAATTAAAAGAAAATTGAATATGCATATCCAATTTTACGAGAAATCAGGTTTCCGGTAAAGAGAAATATTGAGTTAACTCAAGTTGTAAAGAATCGCTAAATTGTTTCACAAATGATGACAGATAAAATATTACAAATTGTGACCCTTTGTGGGCGAGGTACCATAAGAGGTTCGCAGATATATATCATCTTCACAACAGATCTTGTATTAGCACAAATGTTTGTATGTGTGAAATTCGAAGAGAGTTGGATGCTTATTTCGCTTTCTTTGAGCGTTTTGTTTTTCAAAATCTTGAACCCTATGTGAGGGAGGTACCAGAAGAAATGGTCCGATCTCTGCAATTTTTATGACAGATATTGTTTCGATAGAAATATTGAGATTTGCCAAGCCTGAATGGAATTGGATAAATATTCCAAATTTTGACCCTTTGTGAGGTAGGTACCAGAAGGAGTGAACCGATATATTCAATCTTCACACCAGACCTTGGGTTGATAAAAATATTGCGATATGTGTAATTTGAAAACAATCGGACCGTTTCATCGTATTTTATAAGAGTTATAATTATTCAACATTTTGAGTGGACCGATATTGTCCATTTTCTCACCTGACCTACCTAGAACTGATGCAAATAGTAGGATTTCCAAAGTTAGAGCAAACTCGGAGTATTCTTTCTCTTTCCGTGCCGTAAAATATTTGTTTGGAAATTTCGACCATTTTTGGGGGAGGTACCAAAAGGAGTGGACCGATTCCGAACCCAATCTAAATTTGATAATAATATTACGATGTATCGAGTTTAAACCAAATCGGATACACTCTTCGAGAGATATCGTGCGCACCAGCCAGACAGATAAACAGACGGACATCGCTAGATCGATCCAACTATACTGAAACGGATTTGGTCCAAAGGGACGACCGTTTGGGCCGTGTCAAATGATGTATATCCTCTGTAGCCATTTGGATGAGGGTATACCAATACTTGAAATCGTGGTACACCCGTATATTGGGACTATACCAAGACGTGGACCGACATGACCTATATTTTGTACACATACTTTTACATGTAACCCACAAGCTTATAAGAAAGCTCTATCTTAAATATTGCGAAGTATAGAGCAAGATATTTGAGGCCCTTAGTCCTGGATTATGGACTGGGAACTCAAAACCGTTTTGGAATTTAGATCTACTAACTGAATTTCTCACTTAGAATTTTTCAACCCTCCTAGATTGACTGTTGTACAGTATGAAATTGTCCAAAACCTATGTATGTCTTATTAAAATTACAGACTTCCTATACAAGTGGAATGGGACCGCGACCTTTCTTCGGGTTGTAGAAACGATCCACGACTTAACAAAGTGTTATCGAAGCAACAACGACCAATACATGCCTTTTAGTATTTATCTACGACCACAATATATCTACGTCTTATTCAAAATATTAACATTGTGTACGCCTTATACAATTTATCCACAATATATCCACACCTTGGTATCTACGTGTTGCAAAATTTATCGGCGGTCTATATACAATATAAAATTTATCCGCTCCTTTTTAAGCTAAGCAAAGGTAAATATCTTGTTCAATATTTCCTCAATCTTTCCGAGAGTCCCTTTCCCTTTATAGTTCCTCTCTCTGTTTCGAGAATCTATAAATAGTCCTTTTAGAGGATGTCTGTAGAGACCCTTCAGGCAGTCTTTTGAAATTCTTTTTTTAAAGTCACTCGAGAGTATTTAGTCCCCTTAGAGAGTCTCTTTAAAGTGTGACAATAGTGTCCATAGAGTCTACTAAATGTCCCTTGGAAGAGTGTTTATTGAATCCGTTTAGGGTGAATTTTGAGATTTAATTTGGAAGTTCTTTGAGAGCCCCTTTATAGGATCTCTATGGAGGCTCTTTCGAGAGTCTATAAGTAGACCTTTTAGAATTTATCGAAGATCTTTTCCTGTAGTCTATATAAAATACGTCTACGAAATATAAAATTGATTTTTATACCCTCCACCATGCAGAGTATGAAGGGTATATTAAGTTCGTCATTCCGTTTGTAACTTTAGACCATTTTAGACCCAATAAAATATATATATTCTTGCTCAGAGTAAAATTCTAAGACGTCCGTCCGTCTGTTGTAATCACGCTAGAGTCAAAACGAATAAAGATAGGAAGCTAAAATTTTGCGGGTCAAGTTCGAAGATGGGCTATATCTGTCCACGATATCGTATAGGTCCCATATAACGGTACAACCCATATTCGGTATTCTGATGATTTTAACAACATTTTTCAATGGAACTGTCTGAAATTCTACACATCGAGTTCTCTGTGAGTACTTTACCCCCCTGAAAAAGAATTGTTCTCCCCCATATAACTCTACCTCCCGGTATTCGGTAATTTGATGATTTTAGTCACATTTTTCAATGCCTTTATCTGAAATTCTACACAAAGAGTTCTCTGTGAGTACTTCACCCCTGAAAGAGAATTTTCCATATAGGTCCACGATATCGTATAGCCCCCGTACAATGGTGCCCCTCGATGTTCGGTATTTTGATGGTTTTAACCACATTTTTCCATGGAATAGTCTGAAAATCCACACAAGGAGTTCCCTCTATGTTCTTTACCCCCTGGAAGAGAATTGTCTATATAAAGGTTTACGTTTTAGTATAGTACCCATATAACGCTACCCCGAGATATTTGGCATTTGCAGGATTTTCGCGACATTATTTACCGGATTTGCTTCCAATTTCGTATTTGAAGTTCGTAATGGGTACTGGTGCAGGACTACGTCTTAGTATAGCAAAAATACAACGGTACTTCACTTTATTCGGTATTTTGATGATATTAGTGTCCAAGCTTTTATTCAAAATCTATATATCTATTTATTCCGGTGTCCCGTCCTATAAGGAATATCATGGCTACTATCGAAACCCTTCTTTTCGAGGAACAAATTTTTCAAATTAGCCTCTAGTTCAACGATGTACCTGCCCATTTTTTCCTTTCCAACTACTGTCCACCTTTAATGCATTGTGCTCTTGGTCCGAAAACAATTTTTTTCTCTCACTACCATTCTGGCTGACTGGCAATGACAGTGTGTGGCACTGGTACTGACACTGAGTGTGTGTTGCAGACTCATTTGCTTGCACTTTATCTGCTGCTGCTGCTGCTACTGCTGATGGCATAGCCAACGAACCAAGCACCAACAACACCGAACCAACTACAAACCATTCATCGTCGTTGTCGTCGTCATCATCATCATCATCGTCGTCAGTGCCACAGCCATCACCATCGTGTATGCCAGCCACTTCGTTGTAATCGTCGTCGTCGTCGTAGTAGTCGTGCTCCAGTATTCCGTAGTGGCTGGTCGGGTGGATTGCACATTTTTAATTGCCAACATTGTTAAGCGTTATTTTCGTTCATTCGTTTTGCTCGCTCGGTCGCTCGCTCGTCGTTCATCCGTTTGGTTGGCGCTCGATAGTTGGCCATTTTTAGTTTAGCCAAGAAGCAGCAGGTGCGTTAACGTGTGTGGTGTTTTGTTTCCAAGAAGCTCTACAGTTTTCTTTTTCATACCATTCTGCATAACGGTCGAGGAAAAAGGTGTTACGGTAGTGAGAAATAGAAAAAAAAAATAGAAACGGAAAAACACAAAGATTTAAAAATTTCCTAAAACTCCAACAACTGTTGGCTTTCTCATTTTTTTTCGGTGAAAAATTTGGGGAAAAACCCAAGAAGTGGAAGCCAATTGACAAAGTTCCCAGAACGATAACAAGTTTGAAATTTTCGGTATTTTTTTGAAACCTTACCATCATCATCCTCAGTTTCGCCATCATCGCCAGGCTTTGGATTAACGGCAGCTTACTTCGTTTGCGCTAAATTTTGGCGCACTACTTTTGCTTACATCTTCTGCATCCTCCCCTTCTTCTTCTGCTTTCTGGGGAATAGTTTTCTTCTTAAAGGAGGAGCACGACAGAAAAATTCACAACTTGTTGGTCCGGTAAGTCGAACGAAACTGATGTGCAAGAAAACGAAGAAGAAAAGAAAAAAAAATGAAAACTTTGGCGGAAATATTTACTTCTCAGCATTTGCGAATGCTGATGCAAGGAGGAAGATGTCCGAAGGAAGACTAAATTAAGCACTTGGTTGATTTTTAATTAAGAATGAAATTGGAATTGTCTTAATGAATTGTTAATAGTCGAAGGAAATTTGAGATATTGCAGGCGCTTGGCAATCAGATGCATTGGGAAATTTCGCAATTTGAAATAGGAAGTTGGTAATTTTAAAAATGGATTGAAATTTAAGAGTTCGGAAAATGATATAAATTGAATTTTTAATTAAATTTAAAATTCGATTTAAAAATTAACGCAGTTTTCTTTGTTGAAATTGGAAAAACCACCCTCCAAACAAAGAATGTTTGTCTAATTCTTATAATTAGATTAGTAGAGGAAATGTTTTTACGATCGATTTTTTCTTGACATTTTAATGTGCAATGTGTTTGTTATAGACATGTTGTGGTAAAAAAACTGTAAACTATAGGTCTGCTCCAGAACTGCAAGAATGTAAAAGTTTTTACTACGATAACCCTTTATAATAACGAAAATAATTGCAAAACTAGCAGATTTTTGCATGTCCTGGAACAAATTAAAAGCCTGCACTATTTCGTAGAGTTGCCATATTGTTTTCAAGTTTAGAACTTTTTTAAACAAAATTGCGAAGAATTAAGGGTTCTCAAAAAGCATTTATCTAATTATGTTTTTAAAAATTTTGAAAGAAAATAAAATCAAATTTAATTAAATGGAACATTCACTTGATTCCACGCATGCGTATACGTGTTGACACAACGTATACGCCATTGGGGACCAATAAGGGAAACAAATTGTGAAATAATATCAAGGGCAGTATTAGTCTCTTTCAATATGACGATTTTATATATAATAGACAAGACGGGAGGGAAATATTTCACGAAATTGTTTGAAATTTTAATTTGGGATTTAAAGTTGTGAGGGGAAATAAAATCGAATTAACCCTAATAGAGAACTGATTTGATTACACGCATGCGTATACGTGTTGACACGTGGGATTAGAAATTTAAACAAATTGTGAAATAACCTAATACCCAAATATATTTTGTTTTCGATTTCGATTTGACCTCAAAGAAATTATGTGTGGAAAACACAATTAAACCCAATTAGGAGTTGACTCGATTTCACGCATGCGCCACTACAGACGAATAAGGGAGACAAAATGTGAAATAATATCAAGGGTAGATTTAAGATAGAATAACATCACAAATTGAAAATAATGCTGGGAGTTGACGTATGTAACAGCATGAATTTCCAATTAATTTGAATTATTGGAATCAACGCAAAGCTATGTAACAATGACAAGAAATGCAATAACGAATAGGCGTTAACTCATTCCTTACTAAAACTGTTGACCTTTAATGTTGACCAAATATAATATGTAAAAAATTAACATTTTCCTTAGGTTGATATTTTTATCTATGTTATTGTTGCATACCAGGTTGTTGTTGGGTCGAGGAGGCACAAACAGGTCTCATAAAAATATTACGATGTGTCAAGTTTCAACCCAATCCAAATACTATTTTCGTTTTGACGCCACTTTCTGGTGAAATTCCAAAATATGAAAAGGACTCCTTAATTGATGCGGAGTTCGTTGGCCTATATAGTTAGACTGGCTTAAACCGGCGCGCATCGATTCTAAACTATTTCAGTATTATTTGGCAAATTTAATTCTAGACTTTTAAAATTTCATTGAAAATAGATAAAATCGGGTAAAAAATTACAAAGGAGCTACATCTAAATCTGAACCGATTTCAATATAAATTGACAAATACATTTTTAGACAAATTTCCTCACACTTTCTAAATTTCTTTGGAATTTGTCACACAAACCATGAAATCTGCCAAAATATGTATGGGAGCAATATCCAAATTAAATAAATTCTTAGACCAAATTCTCTTACACTTTCCAAATTTTATATTTTTTGCTATTATATAAATATAGCAAAAGATATTCAGTAATCTATATTTTCAAGCGTTTTTTTTTTTTTTTTTGAATTCCTATTATCACGACAAGTAGCTAAATACAGGACAATTATAACAAAAGTAACATAGTCTTGGTCATTCAGTCAGAAACCAAATAAGTCTTTAGTTTTGATCTGTGGCAACATCCAACCTCTAATATTTTTATCCAAATAAATGTAAACCAATGTTGCGAAATATATCTAAAATTATTAATATCACGTTGTATATTTTCAAGCCTATAGAGGCTTTAAAAAGTGTAGGAGACCCCCCCCCCCCTTTGGTGTTTTAATCATTACATTGAAAATTAATTAAAACAGACGGGACAAGTTTCCCTCTCTTCCACACAGTTGGAAATTTCCGGGTTATGATTCCACGCGATTCATGCATTTTATGTATATAGTGTCTTCGACAATACTGAAGACAAAAAAAAAAAAAATAAATAAATAAATAAATAAATAAAAAGGCAACTAGGTTCAGCTAAGTCGAACTTTTAATACCATCACCATTTTGAAGGATCTTGAATAATTTAAAACATATTCATCGAAAAAGACCACTTAAATGAAATCCGTTATATGGGGGCTGTACGAAGACGTGGACCAGCATAAGTAATTTTTGTCATAGACTGTAGTAGCGATTCTAAACTTTAAATATGACATTTTAAACAATTCAATTGAATAATGTCGCTAATATAATCGAAATACCCAACAAAGGAAGGTACCGTTTTATGTGGGCCATATGAAGACGTGGACTTGCATATATAATTTGCTGACATAGGTCGTAGTACGAGCTTCAGACTTTAAATACGAAATCTGAAACAATTCCGGTCAAAAATGTCGCTAAAATCATCAAAATTCCGAAAATTGGGGGGATATACGATATCGTGGACCTATATAGACAATTCTCTTACAGGCAATAAAGTACCCACAAAGAACTCCTTGTGTAGAATTTCAGACAATTCCATTGCAAATGTGCCTAAAATCATCAAAACACGGAATACGATATCGTGGACCAATATGGCCCATCTCCGAACTTGTCCTGCCTGCATTCCAAAGACTAATCTGTGCAAAATTTTAGCTTCCTATCTTAATTCGTATTTACTCCTGTGTGATTACAACAGACGGACGGACGAATGGACAGGGCTAAGTCGTCTTAGAATGTTACGGTGATCAAGTATATATATATATACTTTGTTATGTCTATAATTAATATTACGATGAGTTACAAACGGAATGTCATATTATGTACTGTGGAGGTATAAAAAGTAAAATATCGGTCGATGTTTGTGAAAGCTGTATACACCTAGATTGTAGTCTCAACGAACACTTTATGCATTGTTTCTAAATTTGGTATTGACGTGGCGAAGTGTTGATTCTGAGAAAATTGACAACTCATTTCCTGAGAGGTGTGATTCCCCGTCCGCCCGTAGTAGTATATATAACTCAGATCAAGTTCAAAAAAAGGCCAATATCGGTCTCATCTTTTTGGTACAATCCTCACAAGAACTCAAAATGTCGAAAGAAAATAACTAACCTCATAGACACAGAAAGAATTATCGAATTTTGTTCCAATTTTTCAAGTACTGCTTTTTTAATCATTTCTAGTTCAAGAAAATGGGTGCGAAAATATCCGTTAAAATTTGGGCTAAAATCTCTTTAATACGGTATATTGGGAAGTACCGTTATAAAAAAAATAAAAAATTAATATCTGCCGTAAAAAGGGATCTACAACAAATAATAGACCCATGTGACATATTTTCCAATGCCGAAACTTCTATGGATCCAACATATATTTAAAAGAAATGTAATCAATAAGATCGACTCCAAGTGTCCTAAAAACGGACAGCTGTTCCAACCCCACTCAAAATGGTTTCGAAATTAATTTTCAGGTACGTTGGATGGCGGTTTGTTGAGCTTCTCAAAAAAAAAAAAAAACAAGTTAGAAAGCAGTGAGTTTGGCCGGGCGGAATTTTGTATACCCTCCACCATTTGGAACAAATTTGGAAATTTTCAAAAAATAAAATTCCCAAAAAAAATCTTTTTAAGTCCTCGAAATACCGAATATAGCCGTTATATTGGGATCTATACGACGTGGACCTATATAGGCATTGTTTGTCATAAGCCATTACCATATTAAAACTCGAAACTTGAAATAAACGTACCGTTATATCGCAACTGTGCGAAGACCTGGACCAGCATAGACAATTTTCTGTCACAGGCTGTAGCACCCATTATGAATTTCAAATACGACATCTCAAACAATATCGGTGGGTATTGTACCCAAAATCGTCAAAATACCGAATATAGGGAGGAACTGATAAATGGGGCCTATACGAAGATCTGGACCTGCATACACAATTTTCTGTCACAGACTGCAGTTCCAATTATGAACTTTAAATACATAACTTGAAACAATTCCGGAAAACACCGAATATTGGGAGGTACCGTTATATAGGAGCTATACGAAGACGTGGTCCTGCACAGACAATTTACTGTCTTAGGCTGTAGTATCCATTTCGAACTTCAATTATCAAATTTTAAGCAATTGCGGTGAACGATGTCGCTAAAATCATCAAAATATCGAATATCGGGAGGTACCGTTTTATGGGGGCTATATGAAAATGTGGACCTACATGACCCATTTACGAACCTAATCTGCCTACTGGAAAAATAAACATGTGTGCAAAATTTTAGCCTTCTATCTCAATTCGTTCGAAAGATAGCGTAATTACAACAGACAGACAGACGGACAGACAGACGGACATCGCTAAATCGACTTAGAATTTTACGCTGATTAAAAATGTATATACTTTGTTGGGTTCGATGAGTTACAAACGGAATGACAAAGTTAATATACCCTCCATAGTATGGTGGAGGGTATAAAATAATAATTCAGAAAACCATTCTGTCCTCTCTAAAAATTTAAAAAATCCGAACATCAGAGGACACCGTTGC